ATTTGCCAAATTGTTTCAATAGGACGTGCCTGAGGACAATTCTGTGGACTTTTTCTTTAGGTGCCAAATTGATATTTTTCTCTTCGAAAAAGATCAGTTACACTTGCAGCATAATGACTTGATGCCAAATCGGGCCAGAATAATACTCTTTCGATATTATGATAGCTGTTCAGAAAACGCATCAAACGGGCTTCCAATACATTTTTTAAAATATGTTCTTTCATTAATTGCTTGTGTTTGCTTTGCAAAAAACGGCTTTGATATCCCTTTTTCAGATATTGCGATCCAAACCAAAATTTTACCAGGATACTTTTGATTGCATTTAAATTTTACTTCTGAAGGTGTGGTACTTGGATCTGATGTGTAGAATCCACGATTAGTTGACACCAATTCATTAGTTAAGGTGAAATATTTTTCATCGTTCATAATGGGTTCAACATCATTGTTCAATGATGTACGATATAAACGTCGAACACGTGTTGGAACTTCTTCGATTTGTTTTTCTGTGTATCGAGGAGCATGTTTCTGTTTTCGAAAGTGTATATCCATATCAATCAATTCACGTTAAATAGTCCTTCGATGAACATTGAATTTTTGCGCTAGATATAGCGTCTTTGTTCAGCTTAACCCAATTGTATGCATCAGTTCAATATGATAATGTTATTGATAAGAGATACAGGATTTCGTGTTCTTTGGACCATTTATTGACTATAGAAAAATAAGACAACTTTTAATTCTTTTAACTACTTCAATGCGTTGCTAGAAGGTTGAGTTTACATATACCATTTTCAGAATCAGAATTTATACTGTGCTACGTATTTGCGATTGAATCATTTTTGTATAAATTACATATAATATTTCATGAAGTTATTCTATACTCTATTTAAATGAGAATTATTCCTCATTCCAATATATTTCTATTGCTCTATTAATTATAAGTCAAACTGTAACGGGAAAATATTTAGGCCGCGTAAATATTCTTCAAATAACTATTGAGATATATAGAATTGCGTATATATCCTGATAGGATGATGGACAACAAAGTGTAGATCAGTATCAGCTATATATTTTAGCCAC